AAGATTCCTCGAAACCCAACTTTTCTTCGCATATAATAATTTAGGAACTAAAAGTGACTCCTGAATTAAACGTTCCTCAAATTTAGCCAGGTAATTATTTGCTAAAATTAGTGACAAACACAATCCCATAGCTAAATATCGTGTTTGTTCGTAAGGTTTACCATTAAAGGTAAAATATGTATAGGACATCGCTAGGTTGGTCAGTATCAAAATTGACCCTTTACGTAAATCCGTGCTCATTAAAATCTCCACATGTTGGTCTAGTGTGGATTGCAGGGTGTGTATAGCATCATCTACAGGGATGTTAGTGTACATAGACTCAACATCAAAACTTAACAGCAAATCCCCATTTTCTATCTCCTGCTAGTCGACTAAATTAACGAATTTATATGGATTCTTGACTGAAACCTTCCACCTATTCGCACAGTCTTTGGTGGAACCAACTTAAAAATCCCTTCAACTCGCCTCTTCAAAGGAAATAAAAGATACTCCAAAATTAAATCTATGAAGGTACCCTTCGAAACCCAGTTTTCAACATACCTACTACCTGAAAATGCCGGCGAAAAGTTTTGAAAATGTACCAAGTCAATGGTCTGAAGCTGGAAATCACGAATGCTATTGCAGAGGACAGAAGACTATGTACGTTCCACAAGGTCTCCCTGACGCCCCGACCAAGTTGCGAAAACAATGTCCAACCAACACTATAAAGCTGGAGGAGATCGCGACCAAACAAAAGGCCACACCATATTGGTCTTCATAACTAAGAAAAGATTTTCTGTCTCAAAATTATCACAAATCTGAGTTGTCGAGTTGGTTTTTTATTTGAATCAAAACTTTCATTTCCACGAGGAATGAAAGATAAGACCTAATTCTTCTAGTTGACTAGACGAAGGAATGCAAAGTTTTTAGCATATCGCAAGAAATTTTTCCAAATGGATAATTAAAATTTATCTTTGAAGTCGCACTGATATTAAAATATCTTCAAGGTAAAGCTAGATTCCATCAGGCAATACTAGCATAAGATAAATAGGGTACCATATGATCTCTCAATAACTAAGTAATGAGACAACAAAGCTATTTAAATGGTTAAACATGATAAAATCGTCGCATAATTATGCCAAGGCGTGGATGCATAAGATGCTATAGCATGGAATTCTTTCCATGTTGGTAAATAAAAATAAGGCAGAGCAGGTCAGAGGGACTTCGAGCAAAAACTAAGATTTTAGGTAAATGACCAAGGCTAACCTGTATAAAGCCAAAGCCCAGCAGTATGTTGTAATCGATGACCTTTCGATGCGGGAGCTGAAGACATCAAGTGATCCGCAATGATCATCATAGAATCGAACATTTTCGGCTCACCTAAAAGAAGATCAAAGTGTTCGCTTAACCAACACCGAGCATGTCGTTCGGAATCACTCAAGGAGATATTTGAGGTGCCAATAGGAAGATAGCCATGACCAACAAGGCGACGAGCGGCAGAAACTACCTCACGATGAAGGCGAAGGCACCGTGGAGGAGCACCTGAGCCACCAACTGAAGAATTTTGGTGACACGATGGAAATGTAGGTCGGCTTGATGCTTGACTAAACCTCATAGACTGGGAGCTGGCTTAAAAAGAAGAATTCAAATGATCCGGTAATTCATTTAAATGACAGGAATAAAAATAGCAAATGTGAGAAATAAAAAGTGGACACCTTCGTTCACATTTTCACGTTGATCCAAATAAACAACTTTAATGATTCACCCTCTGAATTGTTACATCAACATTACAATATAGACTGTAGGATAATCATCCATAATCAATTTATGAACGTCATTAATTGAATACTATTTTTTGATACTCAGTCTATATGACGCAGAGTCAAATAAAGTACTTGTTATTTGTAAAGAAATTCATTGAGCAAGCTATCCCCAAAATAGGTTCTCCCTTACGATGTGCAGAGATAATATCGCAAAGGTTAAGTAATCTCCTTCTTGCTGATTCAGAAACTTTAATAATCCCGAAATTTGATAGACGAATAAATTGTGAGTGTTTTGAGACAGATCACGGTATTATAGGGGAGAAAAACACCGATAAATTCAAAAAGCCACAACATTTTCAATATTCTTTGTCAATGTAATTTAACTCGATATTCAAAGTAATCTTACTTGACTTGTGATTGCCTGCTGATTAGCTTTTGCATAAAATCCTCCCACAACTCAATATCGATTACCCTCAGGCTTCTTATGAGCCCTGGATAATCCAAGCAGAACGCAGCTGTTTGGAAAATATTACATCCATTTCACGCTCAATCCTCAACCATCTCAATTCTACTGAAACATTTGGAAAAATAAGAAGATAACCAAACAAATAAACTGTCTCAATAAATGGACAAAATTAAGTAATAAAAAATAGGTTTGCAGCCGGTCACCCTCCTTGTTTTCGTGTTTTGGTAAATTATTTTCTTATGCAGAATTGACTCGCATGCGTCTTATCATAACCTATATTTTCGATTTAAATCAACGTAATTTATTTTCGATATGAAGATGTTTTTGAACTGTCAATATTTCTTTAATAATAACTTGACTATTCTAACTCATTTAGAGTGATTTATGGACCGACTTATACCAAATCCACGACCCGACGTTTGAAAATATGATAATTCCCATAGCAAAAGACTTTAGACAAGATGTGTCCAACTAAGTCGCCCTGAAAACACGACCAAGTCGGGAAGACGAGATCAGGCCGCATCTATACATGAAAAAGAGATAGCGACCAAAATAGAAACCTCAACAACTTCGTTTTCGTATATAGGGTATATAGTTCGATAAGAAATAAAATGTGCCCATAGTTAATCTAAATAAAAGACATTTCAATACGAGAAATCTTCGAAAATACATGTTGACTGGGTTGGAGATGGATAGTTCTATACCTTTTCCATATCGTTATCTAGAAACACAAACAAAATCGTGTATGTGAAGCAGAATGAAATAAATCACCTGATATATCATCACTGGAAATAAAGTTTGTAGTAGAAAAAGTACTGTGTATGATAATCAAAACGAGAAAATCTTGCACCGCCTGATGAAATATCTGAAGCAAATCACTTGAAGAAAGTTGATTGTAGTTGGACGGATCAAGAGGAGATGAGCAAAACATGGATATGTCACGTATCCACCTAAAAATTAAAATAATTGAGATTTTAATGGTAAATATGTTCAGACAAATGTAGAGAAACAGTGGTAAGCGCTGATAAAATAATAAAAAGTCAGATCGCAGATTTGGAGACCAGGATAGTGCGATCTTGGTTACAGTGAGTTCTACATGTGTAAGTGGGTTGATAACTATCCTAGTAAGGCATGCTATCAGGTGCGAGTAACTCTTTCAAGCTGATTCTGGGTTTGAATTCTTTCATTAAAATCGCCTTTTTGTATTTTATTTGTCCTTCATTATCTTCTTCTGGTCTTTGGTCAAAGCGTCTTCTTTTTTATCTCTTTGTTGAATCTCCCGGTCTGCTCAAGCAGTTCGTGAAATCCTCGCTGATTCTTCTCTCTTCCAATTTCATATTCGTCAGGTTTCTTTAAAAAGGATGCCCAGGACCTCCGTGATATTCTTTTTTCTAATGTTCTCCTCCAGTATTCCGGGAAACTCGAGCCAATTGCGTGGTCGATAATAGTTTTCGTATCTATTTATTCTGAATGGTCGCAAGTGTTCCTTGATCATAGAACTGATCCTACTTCCAATTTCTACGATTTACTTTTGTCAACGGTCGTCGCGGTTTATGCTGCAAACTATGGAGCATTCCATTATGTGTTGACAAGCTAGTAAAAAGGAGTGTCCTTTCCTTCATGATTGTACGATTATTCCAGTTCATTAGTACGGCTGCAGCTTCCGGAATATTTTGCAGGAAGCTAGACATACCAAGTCTTTCCTGTCCCTCTTGCTTTTACTTAGTGATCACCACATTGTTATTTGTACAGTAAAATCCGTATGTTGAGTTTAGCTGTCTCTGGGATATTCCTTTGCAAGGAATATGTTGATTAGATTTTGCATTAAATCCTCCCACAACTAAATATAAATTATCGTTAGTCTTCCAATGAGCCCTGGGTAATCCAACCTTCATCTACATCCATTATGAATTTGCTTTACCTTAAGGAGGTTAGAAAATCGTCAAATTTTTCTTTTCCATCTGGCGGGTATACAAGGTAGCCATGCAAATATCGCATTGGCGTTGGCTGCTAAGGTGACATTTCATGATAATCTTCTAACTTGTTCATGTAGACATTAGCGAGCAGAGATAGGTGTTGAGCCCATAGACATATATGTCGTATATTCGGTCGTTCAACGTGAAATATGTAGTTCTTGTCGTTATGTTGATTAATTCGATTGCAGATCATTTTAGGATTCACTCAGTCTCTAAGATATCATCCCCTGTTTTCAAGATTTCCAGCAGAGCCGTGAGCCAATATCCTCAAGGGGAGGAGTATGAAAGGTAAATAAGGATTTTTATTTTAAAATAATTTAATTACTCGATGGCTAAGTGACTATTGAATTGAAATGCAATCGTCAAGGGCTGGATAACTAAAGCATAATTTCGATTTGGCACACGATCGCCTACTGAGTTCACAGGCATACGACGAAACTGCACACGAGGCCGAAGACGTGACACCAACTTGGCAACTTCCGAGGTGCTGAAAGAAACACTAGGTCCTCCAACAAACATATATTTGATCACGATCCCCGTGCATTCGGCACTAAACACGCTATCTAAAATATATATAGAAAGAGTCAAAAGGCTAGGTTATTATCAGTTAAAGGTATAAATAGAGGTAGGTAAATTGTACCGTTGCATCTGTCCAAAAGCGTGAAGCAAGCCGATTGCAACCTCTCAATCAGGTCGGAATT